GGTTGCCAGTGAGTTTATCAGAAGAATACCCGGCTATAGTACACGTCACTTGAGCGCTGTCGCTCTGCGGCACTTGTTTATTGCAATTGTAATAATTTCAGGGAGACATGGCGATCGTCATTTCAAGCAAACTCCTTGATCCCATTGTTAGAAGTGCAAATGTTTTGCTTTGCCAAAAGATGAGAAGCAGCTGTGAAAGTGGTAAGCAACTACACAACATGCATATATATATATATATATATTGCTGAGATATATTTTATATCAAGTTAGTGTATGCGATTGTTTCGGTCAATAGTTTGCATGGCAGCGATTTCATTGAATCGAATATGGTTACATTTTTGCAGCCCGTAATATGATTAAAGTCAGCACAGCTGTCAGATCTGCTCTTGCATCAAACAAGCCTGTCGTCGCCTTGGAGAGTACAATAGTTACACATGGGATGCCATATCCACACAACCTCAGGTTTTTATACTTGAAATTTATGATATTTTCTTTGGTTTGCTAATTTGTTTGCTGATTGTCTACGATTTAATACAAGTTAACTTGCTCTTTGAACATTGAAACGTTATTTAATTTGCAATAGCTTGTTATATTTCCATTCATGAGTGTGATGAAGGATTGCAATTTTCACAGTTAAACAACGATTAGTCTAATTACAAGTTTTAATTATAATGGGGTTCATGGGTACAAAACTGAATGGAACTTGGCCAAACTCAGTGCATTATTGCATGCACTAGGAAGCCTAAAAACAGAACATTAAGTGTAATATATAAATAGGTTTGCAGAAGTTATATAATACATATGTATGTATAAATGTGTGTGTATACGTTAGGGCTGTAACGATACACTCGCGTATTTGGTGCACCGAATATTGTTGTTGGACGATATGTATTCGTTATTTACGTCGTCATTATTCGAACGCTGACGAATACAAATAATATAAATGGAACCTACTTGAAAAAATATTTTTTAAACTGCAATTCTACGCCGATTTGCTCGAATTCTGAATGTTGTTTGCAGCTTTCCTTGTGAACGCACCTAGACTGGTACCCGTCCCTTCTCACACGTCGAGAAGGCTGGGACGTGTATCTTACTATCACGTGTAACTCACCCCATATCGAGCGTGTGAGAAGGGACGGATACTAGGGTTGCAGCAGTATACCGGTATTGCGATAATATTATCGCGGTGTAATATTTTAGAATTATCATACTGTAACCAGCTCAATACCGCGGTTTTCTTGTTGACATGTGATATACACGTGTACAGTGATGTGACGAAAATCTGGCACAGCCATGCCGCGTTTTTCGAGCCATGTGCGCGGCAGCGGCGCCTTTGATTTAAGTACAGGTCTCGATCGATCGAGAGCGCGTAGCGCTACCGCGTTTCGCTAACGTCCGCTAAAAGTTGTTTGTTAACAGACGAAAGTTGTCCGGAGGCATAGTGGACAACAACACACACATGCACACGCACGCGCACACACACACACGCATGCACGCACACGTGCGCGCACATATGCACACGCAAACACGTACGCGCGCACATGCACACGTGCACACACACACACACACACACACACACACACACACACACACACACACACACACACACGACATTACACATTTACAGCATCATCAAGTGAGTATTCGTATTCGTGAAATATTCGTATTCGCATGCATATATCGTGCGTATACGTATACGTATACGTAACGTATTCGTGACCTAGTGTACGTATTCATTACAGCCCTAGTGTACGTGTATTGAGGGGGACATGTACGTGTGTGTGCGTGCGTGCGTGATGCGTGCGTGCGTGCGAGCGTGCGCATGTGTAATAAAATCATGTCTATATGCAATGTCTATATATGTTCATCGCATATTGTTTCAGCACAGCTCAGCAAGTCGAGCACATAGTTAGGGAAAATGGTGCCATTCCTGCAACAATAGCAATACTGTCGGGAATAATACATGTAGGTATGTTCAGGACTCCCATTTCCTAACCTGTCACTTACTCCTATTAGTATTATATTATTATTATCATAATGGCTTGTTATTGCTAGCAGTAATGATATGAATTCCGTGTAAACCTAGCTACACATGCCATAAAGTCTTGTATCTATTTTAGGAATATATATGGTGTATATATAATAATAATTTTTTTTTGTTAGTTATATATTATCAAAGGTTTAAGGTCACGTGCAAATAATATACACATCTTAGCAATGACAAATTACTTGCGGTCTTTTGTACTGTATTACAGCAGTACCTGTTTAAGCACTCTTGGAAAACTAACTGAAATAGCCAGTTGTTAGGATGAAAAAGTCTGTTGGTGGAAGTGGTGTAAATGAAGTGAACTGAAAAGGCAGCATGTTGGCATAAGAATGTGTAATTTATTGTTGTGATCATTAGTTTGTACCATTTCTATGATTTATATTTAGGTTTATCAGATGAGCAGTTGACTATTCTTGCGAAGAAGGAGTGCAAGCCTGTGAAAGCTTCTATCCATGATCTCCCAGCTATCATTGCACAGGTGAGTCCCCGCCCCTAAACACTTTTATTGCTTTGAATAATTTCACAAGCCCAGCGAACATCCCTCTAACCTGTATAGATGTGTGATTGATCATATTTGGCACACGCAATACCTTGGAATGTTTATTGAGTGAAACCCTGGACGTCCATCTATATATATAAAGTTGTTCAGCCGAATTAGTCCGTACTCGCATAACTAGAGAACTCCGCAGCCTAGAGGAAAACTAAAGATATTTTCAGAATCAGCACGTCAGGGAGGTGGTTGTGGCTAAAAAAATTGTGTAAAAAGTTAAAAAGTTAAAAATTGATAATAATTCTATTCATCAATAGATGGCGGTGCGTACAGATTAACATCACGTATGTGTGAAGCCATTCTGTATACCCTGAACGGGGCAGTGGTCTAATCGCTAGAACATCCGTCTCCTACACCGGGATTCCGGGTTCGAGCCTCAGCTGGGGAACTTATTGTCCCCTTTTTTCCTTTTTTTCCCTTTACCTACCTATTTAGTATGTATTTATTTTTTACTTTTTAATTTTAATTTTTTATTTGTAATGTCTTATCTTTTGATTTCTTATTATTTTTTACTGTTTGGGATGGGATGGGATGGGATGGGATGGAATGGAATGAGATGGGATGGGATGGGATGGCATGGGATGGGATGGGATGGGATGGGATGGCATGGGATGGGATGGGATGGGATGGGATGGCATGGAATGGGATAGATGGATGGATGCATGGATAGATAGATAGTTAGATTTTTTTTGATATTTTTCTTTCAACCAAGCAGTCACCAACTGAGTAACGCCACTGATTTCCCCGGGCAACGCCGGGTATCCCGCTAGTTCACTATATGTTCGCATCGATGCAGTTGTACAAGTCACAGTTTTACTCGGGCTTTTTTCAGAAAGGATATGGTGGCACGACAGTGGCAAGTACGATGTATGCGGCGGCGAGCGTGGGCATTCCTGTCTTTGTCACCGGCGGCATCGGGGGCGTCCACCGTGGAGTGGAACACAGTGAGTCTGAGTGAGAGTGTGGCAGTGATGAAAACACTGGTATTAACATGCATTCCTGTTTCTTTTTTCAATTGCTTTCATGGCACATACAATGATGATGAAATGAATTATCTAAGCAATGTGATTGTTATTTTCTTCTGTATCAGCATTATTAACATGCATAAATCACATGTGAAATGTGTACATTGATAAACCGCCCCTGGTGTCATATCTAGATGTTTACAAGTTCACACATTACAGCAATGGACATCAGCACAGATTTGACTGAACTTGGAAGAACTGAGATAGCTGTCGTATCAGCTGGCGTAAAATCGATACTCGATATTGGCAGAACACTGGAGTACCTGGTGAGATGTGTATCTTACTACGTAAATAAAACTGGATGGGGAGGGGGATTATCAATTAATATGTAGACAGAACACTTGCTAGTACAGTACGTGCTGAGATGTATATGTGATGTTATATTCTAAGTGCACTTCAGTACATTTTAGGAAGAATCATGTGCTATGGAAAACTGAAAAGGAAACGTGCTGAGATGTACATGTGATATTGTATTCTAAGTACACTACAGTACATTTTAGGAAGAATTATGTGCTATGGAAAACTGAAAAGGAAGCTGACACTTTTCCTGATGTACACTGCACTATTCTACAGGAAACTCTGGGCGTCTCTGTCATCACATATGCCGAGGACAAGGAGTTTCCGGCGTTCTTCACCCGTAGAAGTGGTTTCCAGTCTCCCTACAATGCAGCAACAGCGGAAGCAGCAGCTGAACTCATATGTAAGTTATATCAGCAGTAAATAATTGCACAATTTTGTGATTATTTACCCCTGGTTGTATCTACACGATTGCATCGTTTTCATCGCTGATTGTTCTCACTTCTATTCCTGTTATAGCTCTCCACATCTACGTTTTATATCGGTGCACACTGGCCTATTAATATTTCCTTTTCATATCATCAACCAACTAAAAATTATTGTTATCGCAAAAAGTCTTATTAATTAGTGAGTGTGTTTCTCTGGGATGGCGGTACATTGCTTGTCTCCGCTTCGTATCAGTTTCCAGCTTCTCGCTTGGTCTTCGCCGTGGCGTCCTTGTTGCCGTGCCGATTCCAGAGCAGGATGCTGCATCTTCGCAGCAGGTAGAGGATGCTATTCAGCGAGCGTTAGCTGAGACGAGGTGCGTAAAGTTCAAAGCTTGATGCAAGACACGGTTGCGCGTCGGATCCTGACTGTGACAGTCGTATGGATGCTCAATATATTATGTATTCGTTGCAGTCGAATTTTTGTTTAATAATACCAGAAGTAGATAATATAGGGAAGGAGTGTGACTTCAATAAACATGGGGAATTCGTCATTTACTAGCCTTAGAATACCTACGATTTACTACGCGTAACTCAACCAACTTGAGCTCAAATCGTACACAGTACATTCGCCTAGCATCATGCAAAATCGTTTCCTCGTATACACCCGCAATCCGGAGATACAGACTAAAACGTACGACACGATTCTCCATTCTGTTGGCAGCAAACCGAATCCATAACCCGCCTAACTTGAAACAATAGGCAGCTAGCTACTAACGACTCTTGCGCACTCTTGTGCTCTTGGCGATGCGGTGTGGCTCGCTGGGAGATTGGAGCTAGAGCTGCTGCTGATTGCAGTGGGCGTGCGTGCGTGGGTGGTAGGCTTAGATACAAATATCTCGAAAAATGGCCTAAATATTTTTCCGGGAATTCTCCAAAAAATCTCTAAACATCTCAAAAGTTTTTCTAAATATTTCCAAAATTTCTCTAAATATCTCAGTTATTTCAACGTAATGTCTTTTAAACATATTTATTGTGCGCGAAAAAATCATTCGCCGTTTACGAATCTCTATTCGCTGGATTTCCCCGAAGCTCTGCCCACTTTAAAAATAGTGCTAGCATTGATGATTGTGGCAGTGGTATCCTGAGTGTACGAAGGGGCACTGCATGCAGTTTGCACCGCTGGATGGTTTTTCTTAACAGAAAAGGACAAACTCATCCTTACAAATCCTTAATATTTGAGAAAATTGTTTTATTTTCTAAATATCCAGATTTTTCTAAATATCCTGAAATTTCTAAATATTTCCAAAAATATCCGGATATTTGTATCTAAGCTTAGTGGGGGACATACCAGCTGTAAATAGGTCAAAGATTAGCTTGCCGAGTGTTGCGTCGATGTCCAATCTCTTAGCGAACCAAACTGCATCGCCGAGGGCACAAGAGTGTGCAAGAGTTGTTAGTAGCTGCCTATTGTTTCAAGTTAGGCGGGTTATGGATTCGGTTTGCTGCCAACAGAATGGAGAATTGTGTCTTACGTTTTAGTCTGTATCTCCAGATTGCGGGTGTATACGAGGAAACGATTTGGCACGATGCTAGGCGAATGTACTGTGTAGAATTTGAGCTCAAGGTGGTTGAGTTACGCGTAGTAAATCGTAGGTATTCTAAGGCTAGTAAATGACGAATTTCTCTTGTTTATTGAAGTCACACTCCTTCCCTATTATCTACTTCTGATAATACGTACTAATATGTTTAATATACGGACATCAGGCTTTAATTTTTAAGGGGCGCGATCGCGCTCGCGCTCCACCGCGCACCACAAATTGTGCCATGGTGCGCGCATCATCGCGCCTCATAAAAGTGGTTGAAATCGCGCACCAAAAGTATGTCTATTATGTTGAAATAGCGCTCCATAGAGTTCTCAATGTAGGGGGGTACAAAAAGGTTAGCAACACACAACAATTTGTGGTGTTTAAGTAACTGAGCGTATGGCAGAGGTACAGGTCTGGTTACTACCCTCTGGTTTATATATATATATAAATACAACTAAACAACAGCATCCAAATACAGGTACCTATACGGTAGCCACAAGTTACCTGCTCGTTTTCTACTATACGTGGCGAGAAGTGGTTTTCTGCCAACGTGAAACAGTCGTATAGGGCTGGAGGGGCTACATACGTGGCTACTACGTACAAGTAATTTGGCTAGTTTGTTGATGGATTGTGATGATATTTTGTGCTGAAATATGCAGGTACATGGATTAGAATCTCTAAGGATGGAAATCAGAATAAATAAAACAAGTTTATTTTTACATCCGATCAATTCTTTTAATAATCTGTGTGCTAGTGTTGGGTTGTTGGATGAAAAGAATGTAATCCTGACGAAGCCATTGAATGAATATGAATGATAATCAGTAGATTGACATGACATCCCAATTTTCGTTTTGGATTTCACTCTAGACTGAGGATTGGTCATGATTCCATCATCACACCCCAAGAGGCATGATGGAGAGCCCTCAAGGAGCTCTCCATCATCCCCTTTAAAGGGGGATTTTTTAGTGGAGCTCTCCATCATGCCTCTTAAGGGTGTGATTATGGAGCGTGAAAAGACCCCCTATGGTGTCCTAGGGCGGGGAGTCATTAGTAGTCCTCCTGTACTTTTCAAATCTGAAAGCCTGGGACATGTGATGTTATATAAAAGTTGTCTTCCTGTTTTTTTTTAAAAGAGAGAACAAGATCAAGGGGAAAGATGTGACGCCATATATTCTGCAAAGAGTCAACGAGCTTACTGAGGGAAAGTCATTACAAGCCAGTATCCTTCTATTTGTCTGATGTTGATTTTATGGTATATAGTATGACATATTAGTTTTATAGGTTTTGATAAACCATAATGATAAAGAAACTCCGTGTAACTTAGAGGAATACAGGTTGATACATTAAATATTGTTGTATAGATCAGGCAAATACTACACTCTTACTTGAATAAATAATTGCTATTGTTTTTTGGCATAGCAAAATTAGTTGCTGTATTTTACAACCAAAGGTATTGAGTTTGTACTTTAATCTTGCCACAAAGACATTAGTTTGATCAAGAACAATGCTAAAGTCGGAGCCCAGATAGCCTGTGCATATGCTGCAAGACAGACTCAAAGCAAGACTGCAGCAACAGTGTCAACACACAGCATTCCTGCAGTAGCCGTGCCATCGCAAAGCTTGCACCCCATGTCAACGGCCACTTCTACAAACAACCGCGCATACCCCGTGAGTGTGGTTGTAGGTGGCGCTACTTGTCATACAATGTGTCTATATTCAAAAAGATATTCACACCGCATTGGTAATATACCATCACTGCAACATGCAGTATGTGGCACGCTAAAATTAAGGGGGAAGATTCTTTGGTTATTTCGCGTCCCATGGTTTTGCGATAAGACCGTGAAAAAATATATACAATGAAAGCTTTCACTGGAATTCCATCGCTAGTGAGTTCAATTTTCAGTTCAATCTGTGCAGACCATAGCAGTTACACGTAAGATTTCTTCTACAGGCTTTACTATTTGCTGTTCAAAATCCATTAATAAGTCACTATATTTGAAGTTATGCATAATTTTGTTGACAGGTGGTAGTTGGCGCAACAAATCGCGACATAACGATCTGTGGAATAGACAGCAAAGAATTCAGGGTAAATTAGCTAGTGCCTATTGAAATTTAGGTTAAGCATATATATATATAGAGAGAGCTAGAAGAGAGAGACAGAAATATATATAAGAAATAGGATAGGACAATTATAGTAGATTGCGATGTGTAATATTGTCGCCACGCTATATGTATATTGTTTTCCCTGCAGAGAGATGGCAGCACCAATCTGTGCAAGATTCAGATGCAGCTTGGAGGTGTTGGACGCAACATTTCAGAGGGCCTCTTGAGACTTGGCAACAAACCCATCTTTATTACAGCCACGGGGAGAGAACTGACGATTCAGTCAGCTTTACGCACATCGCAGGCCTTGGCAAGTGTGTTCTGCGTACATATTACCAGTGCTATATAGAAATGACCAAGAATGGCCACATCTAATAAAAAGAAATTGTAATACATATGATTGTATTACGGAATGGAAAAAAAAAGTGTCTCACTATGTGTCACGTGTGATACTAGCAAGTATTTTCTTCTTCACAGAGTATACTATGTAAAAGTTTGATAAGCATTATAATAACATTGTAAAAAAATACCCAACAATCACCTCTATCCTGTGGTACAAAATCATCTCACTATGACCCCTAACTCAAGCTTCAATTACTTGGCAAAGGTCGGGTTAAAATAACTATTGAATGAGCTAATCAAATTCTTACATTTATCCAACAAGGATGCAAGAGGCTTGATTCACAGTGATAAGTTGTCCACGGGTTCGTATGTGGCAATACTGAACCACGCTGGTGAGTTGGCAGCAGCTCTTGGAGATATGGAAATCCACGACAGTCTCACGCCACAACACGTAAGTTATTTCATATGCAACATGCATTAATTTTATTTAATGTTTTCAATAATTTGTTTTCAATAATTTTATTATAATTTTGTGTAACCAATTAATAGCAGTTAATAGAGAGACTGGTATCTGTGATTTATGATCTAGACAGTCTGCAGCCGGATATACGCGCGAAGCGCGGTCGCGCCACCTGTTGGCGCCATTTGAGATAACTCGCTGCCCTATATTAGAATACTTTCACGAAGCCCTCTGGGTATAGGATAAAGCCGTAGAATCGGTCAATTCAGCAGTTCTGGCCATTGCAGAAGCCTTTCGGCTCTGCACGTAGGGCGAGAATAAATCCAATGGTCGTAATTGGTAATTTTTTTGCTTCGCGCGTTACGTTTTTTTCTATAAAACCGATTTCTAATTTATTTAATTTAACGCCCTGAAGTTATTCTCGTACTTATCGCGTCCCATAGATCGCGCCACGAGTCTCTCTTGGAGGCATTTCCCAGAGAATTTTGCTTAGACTGCCGCGCGGTGCAGAGTTCGACACGCTAGCGTAACTAACTTCAGTGTAGCCAACTATTGAGTGAAGGTCGGTAGCAGTCTATCCCTGCACTCGTCACTGCCCGCATCCATCTTGTCGCTCCAATCTGATGTTCTGATCTTTCCCATTATGATTATGACGATGTTAGTTACACGTCCTTCTCCTGTCACGTACGTGCGAGGTTTTTATGAACCTGTTGACCCCGCGCTCGCATCTCCTCTCTAGCCCGTTTTGCCGTTTTTTCATATATTACATCGTACCAGCCACTGGCAGCAACATCAAGCCCGCACGTACAGCACACACTGATGATCAGTTTGTTTAGACTGCATGAGAATTGCCACTAGCGGCACATTAAGACTGGTATTACATTCCACACCTACGGCTACGAATACTTGTATTACTACAAGTACATGTTACAATAATTACTACTAAGTACTACTATACTACTAAGTTACCAGCACTACTAGTACTAGTACTAGTAACTACCAGGACCGCAGGAGCTAATAGTATTAAATAGTAATTTGAGTAATAATGACTAACTCTGTTACTAGTAATTAACTTAGTAATAATGACGAACCCTAACCATAACCCTAACCTATTATATTGATATAATATTAGATTTATATTGATGTAAATGACATTGGTTTTATTCCCCATGCCATACATTGGGGCCCATATAATATTGGGAGCCATGTTCTCTATCCTTGAACCACTAGTACTACTAGACTACTACGACTAGCAAGAAACGCTCTTTGCTAGGGTTAGAATACCCCTAGGCTATACTAGACACAGGCACTTGAAGCGTTTCAATAAAATATAATGCTAACTAAATACGAAATCTATTTACTACGAAATTGTTAATGTTTCTAGTATAGGCCTACTCTGTTTCAAGAAGGTTTTCGAGGTGCAAAGGCTATATATAGACTAGGACTCGCTCCCACCTCGATTAGCCATTGAGTGACTAAGCTAAGCCGAGAGGTGCGAGAGAGTGCCAGTCTATGGGCTATAGGCGGCGGGCAGGCGGCGCACTGCTTTCCAACTCCCGTACGAGCCTCGCCATTGGAACGTTGCAAAAACGTTCCAGCGTTGGGGCGCGAAGAGCGCCGGTAGGTGTTTCCTGATTCTGACAGCCGTTTCCATTACTGGGCAAGGTTCGCGAATGTCAGAATTTCGACAGTCTTTCTGTGATTTCGCGTGACACAGCTCGGTTACGAACAGATTACTCGGTTACAGTTTTTATAACAAGTGAACACTGTTCACGTCCCAAATGTCTACCCTCTGTGTCCCCCACTAAAATTGCGGACTGTTCGCTGGCAGCTATGGATCCGTGCGCCCGCCAATTCATTCGGCGCACGGATCCATAGCTGCCAGCGCTGCATACTGTCGTAGGACGTTCCCGCGGTCGCGTGCGCCTTGCCGCGGAATTGCGCGCAAGATCTGCGCTTATAGCGCTTGGGATCAACACCTCCTTTCGGCAACGCTTCTCTAGTATCCCGTCTCATCTGGATTTCGCCACGTTAACGCATTGTGTTACAGGTGTCGATTTTCGAGGAAGAGTTGCGGAGTGCACCGATCGTCTGCTTCGACGCAAACATACCCCCCGATACTATACGCTACATATGCGATGTTTGCGCAGAGGCCAATGTTGCTGGTGAGTTATATATATAGAGTGAATATCGCAGGCATTTCTGTGAGTGTTGAGTGAGTGAAGACATTGGCATGGTCGTTTCACAAAGCACAACGAGAGGATACAATGTTTGCAGTTTGGAGGCATTGCTAAATGTACCCTGCACAAGACTACACAATTTTATCATACATCAAACTAGTCTGGGCCAGGCTCAGGTCAGACGCACACTAAATCAGAGCGTATAGACACAATATAACTAACTGTGCTAACTTGGTCCGGACTAGCGCATATTTTGACCGTGGTAGCGTGTACACACTGGGAAAATTCAGGCCCGGTCTAGTTTGACATAGGATCAAATTTAGTCTGTACGGGGTATTAGGTGACGTCATGTCACAGCGGCGGGCCAGATGCACATAGTATAATAGCGAAGATCACAGCAATACATAAACGATAAAGAAAGATGAAGAATGAAGCAAACGCACATTAATTACTATCACACTGATGATACTGGGGAGTGAATTTTTGCATACTCACAAAATTTATTTCAAAAGCGTGTAGGTACAATGTGCTCTGCTATATGTAAATACCCCAGGTAAGTAAGGGAGCGGTGAATTCGATGTTAAAATTACATCGTAGTCTGACCTAGCTTGTCCATCAGTGAAAGCCTTCTAAAAGCCGCAGCAAAAACCAATGTAATAATAACAAGTGCCGCAGAGCGACAGCGCTCAACTGACGTGTACTGTATCCGGCTATTCTTCTGATAAATTCACTGGCAACCTTATCCAGTGCACCCTCCCGCCACCGCGTTGATAGGCTTTGCTATACCGGCAGGAGTAATAAAGATATAGCTGTGTAGCTTTAATGACATCGCTATATTAACGTTATCATGGATATGCGTCGAGCGCGAGCGTAGTGGTGGTGGGGGTGGAGGGTGGGGAGAG